TGGGGTGGGGGGGGGAAATTTAAAGGGGGGTTAAGGGGGGTTTTTTGGGGTTTGAAATAGGGGGGGGGGGTGGTGAGTTTTATGGGGGAGAAGAAAGTGTTTGGAAAGGGGGGGAGGGGTTTTGTTTGGGTTAAAGATTTTGGGGAAAGATTTTTTGGACAATTTTGGGAAAATTGGAAGGGAGGTTTGGGCCTTGGGTGTTGGGTTTTGGGGGAAAAATGTTTGTTTTTTTGGGGGGGGGGGGTTAATGGTTTTATCGGTTAGGGAATGAAAAAATAAGGGTCCCCCCCCCCCCCCCCCCCCCGCGCGCGCACGCTTGGAACCCCCTTGCAGTGGCAAAAGACAATGATGCTGTCGGCCGTGATGGTGCCGTCGGTGCTATTCCCGGTGGTGTTCCTGCTCAACCTCGTGGCGATGCACTACAACACGGTCAACACCATCCCCTTCATGGCGGTGCTCAAGATGGCGCTCATCTGGGTGTTCGTCTCCTTCCCGCTGTGCGTGGCCGGGAGCATGTTCGGCCGGCACTGGGGGGGCAAGGGCAACTTCCCCTGCAGGGTCAACAGCATCCCGAGACCGATCCCCGAGAGTGTATGGTGAGAAGTGCAATAATGTGTATCATAGATGTGTAGCGTGCGGTAGTCATGGTACATTTCCTTTTTTTTTGGTACGTGGTCTCCGTTGCGGGCATCTCTTTCTTTCTTTCTTTCTTTCTTGTTTTTTCGTGGAGCAGGCCAGGCGTACGCGCCAGCAGCAGGGTGCGAGCCTGAACTCACCGTGCCCCCGTCCCTGTTTTTTTTTTTTTTTTCGATCTCTTTTCTGTCTGTTTTTTTGTCCTTTCGATGCGTTGTTTGAACCTGCGTGACCTCTCGAACTCGCCAGACAATCTCAGCCGGCGATCCTCTTGCGGCGAGCTGTACAGCAGGCACTCTGTTTCGAAAACAGGCTGATCATAAAGACTGCATCTTGAACAGCCTCTTGTTTTTCAACTAAAACTCCCGAACGGAAAACTCTCTCTTTGATGTACCATGTACAAGTATTCCCTACCTCTCCCCCACGCCCCCCCCCCCCCAGGTACTTGCAGCCGAATGTCGTGGTTCCATTAGCGGGGATCCTGCCGTTCGGTAGCATCTTCATCGAGATGTACTTCATCCTGACCTCGCTGTGGGCAAACATGTACTACTACGTGTACGGCTTCGTGCTTCTGGTGTTCGCCATCCTGGTGGTGGTGCTGGTTTGCACGACCATCGTGGCGGTGTATTTCGTCCTCAATGGAGAGGTGAGAGAGAAGTCAAAGGAGGCGTGTTCGTCTTATGTGCTCTCACCTAGTCCTTGCCCGCACCCTGAGAGTGCGTGGGTATTGCCTTGATCGGTAGCGTTCTCTCCTTTCGCCCCCTGTTTAGGTTGTGTTTGGTGTGCTTACCAAGCCCGGTTTTAGGTTTCGCTGGGTGAGGGGTTCAGCGACGCCCGTCACACCGTTGTGTCTTGAGTGTTTTGTGTTTTGCCGTGCGACTTTTTTGTTTTTTTCTTTCTGTTTCCACCAATGGTACCATGGCGTCCCGCCCCCGCTCCCCTCTCATGGTATTCGGTTGGCTTGCTGACGTGGCGCTAGTTGTAACGCCAGGCTGTCCGGTGAAATTCCTGTCATATGTTGCATGCTGATTAATGGGATGTGAAGGTACTGTATGCATACATGCTCTGATTCCATCGACCCGACCATGTACGGGTAAAATCCCCCCCCAGCGACCTGTTCCGTCCCTCGCCCCTCAAACCGAAAATTAGATGCGCACTAGATGGCCCAAGAGCTAACGCAAGAAAAAAAAACATGTGCTCGTTCCCACCCGCCCTGAACGTGTCGTGTCTTTGTCCTACCCTACCTGACTCGCAGAACTATCACTGGCAGTGGGTATCCTTCTTAAGCGCAGCGTCTACCGCTGGCTATGTTTTCCTGTACTCTGGCTACTACTTGTGGTTCAAGACACACCAGAGTGGCTTCATGCAGATCTCCTTTTATTTCGGATACATGTGAGTGTGTGAGAGGACAAGCAACAAAGGGCTCTTTTCCAGCAGTCTATTTACGCAGCAAAATTGATTAAGCAAACATATGGGATAAAGTATTCAATCCGTGCTTTGGGGTTAGGGATAGGGATAGGGATAGGGTCTTGCGTGCCCCCTCCCTATTATATTTCTAGATACTCTTGAAATCATGCGTAGGCGGTCCCTCTTTTCTGTACCGTAGGAGAGAAAGAGAGAGGGCAGGGTATTCGTAGGGAGTGGCCTGGGCAAGTAAGACGCAGCAAGGGGGGGGAAGAGAGACGCACACAGATAGCAGAGAGATAGACAAACAGAGCAAACACACGCGAACATGAGGGACTATGACAAGGGAGGGGACGTTTCTTTTTCATGTTTCCTTGTCTGTCGCTGTTTATTTTTATGAACACGCGGTCAGCAGTCGTCGCGCGCGGTTTAGGTTCTCGATAAGCACGACGGCCAGACATCATCCGTGTGACAGGTATTGGTTGCACATTGTTTAGCTGTATCGAGGTGTACAGCAGTACATAGAGCCGGCCGTACGAGCAGGTAAAGATGTACACGACGATCCCCGAGCCTCCGGCATGTTGGTGGCATAGCGGAGAGCGACACTCTCTAATCCCCAACGGTTCCCTCGGACCGAAAGAGGCCTACCTGTAAGTGTAGTGGATGCAAAGCTGTGAGTTGATTTTGTACGTAACGTCACGGAAGGGCTGTCCGCTTACTTGAACAAGACGGGACTCAAGGGAATGCGATGCACCACGCGAGGCAACATGCAACACTTTTAGAAGGGCGTGATCGGGGTGTTTTCGAGGATCCTTGTGAGGTACCTTTCGGAATGCTCACGCCAGCAGCACATGGTGTTCTCCGAGGCGCGCGCGCGGGGGGGGGTACTCATAGCCGTGCATGCCGTAGTCGTGAGACCATTGACCTCGCATCCCTACTCCGAGGCGGGGGCGGGGGTACCTTTGTTTTTCTCCGTTCTGCTCCATTCTCAACCGCGTCTCCCCTCCCCCCCTCCCTCCGTGCTTGCCGCGTCGCTACGACTGCTGTGCACGTCGCCGTGTGCTTTTGCTGCGCTGCGCTGCGTTGGCGTTTGGGTTCTTGTCGACAGGGGGCTGTTCTGCGCGGCACTCGGCGTCATGTGTGGTTCCATCGGCGTCATGGGCAGCACGGTCTTCGTAAAGCAAATCTACCGCAACATAAAAGTGGACTGACCTATGGGACAGCGATACATTATGTTGCTATTGTCGATGTCGTTATCGTTGCTGATGCTGTTGGTCGCGGTGGATTCTAGCCTACAATAGTTTGTTTTTTATGAATGGCGAGGGTTCGTTTTTTTTGTTTTTTTTCCTTCTTGTGGTGCGTGCCAAGGCTGCCTGGCACTATATATGCACGGCTGTTGAACGGGTCTTGCTTGTTGCGAGACAGGTGTCGTGTAGCGCTGCGTCAAGCCTAGGGGGCTTGGCAACGTGTTTTTGGGACACTACTGCTGTGGTGTGCTCGAGAGGGCACACATTTGTCATTGGTATAAGCCGTACTACGCTGTGGGCGTGCCCTGCAAAAGTCACATAACCTAAGTACACAAGTGATTGGTTCCGTGTGTAAGACCGCGTAGATAAGGCCGGTCGCCTTGTATGAGGCCAGTGAAATCGCGTGGCACCGATGGAATACCGTAGGTGACATGACATAAGATATCACACCCCCTGGACCGATTTCCGAAGATCGATTAGTCCGCAGCAGAAGGAGTAACGGTGCCGGAGATGGCGGCTTTGAAACTGTCTCGTCGAGATCTTTCCGAAAATGTATCATTTGATTTCGGCATCGTCTTCGTCGTGCAAAAATAGAGGTTTGAAATTCGGTACAGGGTGTGTGGAATCTTATGCAACAATACGGCACTCAAGCTATCACTCACGCTGGATGGTATATGGCTGGCCTAAACCCTTGGTACTTGGCTGGGCGGCCGTATACAGGGACCACTCCTGTCGTATTCCGTAGATGCAGCGGTGGACGCAAGCAAACCCTCCCTGTGGGTACTGCCGTTCATGCTCAATGCCCGTCACCCGTGGATCTGGCTGCTGAATGGTGAAAGCGCTACTTTCCCGCAACAAGACTCTGGTCAGCGATTTCGGTTATCGATCTGTGGAGCAATAGACGGATTCCGGGAAGACTTTTCTGCGGACGGACGCGCCAAGCGGGTAGCGGGTCCGCGCCTTCCTTTGCCTCTCATTTTTGCCTGGCATGTCCTTCGGTGACGTTGGTCGTAGGGCAGCGAATACGGCCGTTGGTGGCTGCGGCCACTAAGTAACACGTTATGATATATGCCATTAGACGTCACGCTTAGGTGATGACCACCACCAGTTGAGAGTTTTTGTTGTGAAAGGTTGTGGGGCTGGCTCCTTCGTTGGTGAACACAACGCCGCTCGTCGTAACAACATTTTTAGCCTGGAGTTCCGCGCGCGTCGGGCGGTGAGTGGACAGGGGGAGGGGAAGGACTGTACTGATGTTTTGCGTGTCAGTAGCTGTTAGACCATTGACCACGCGTTCTCGAGAGGACGGAGCGTTGTTCCCACTGGACCGATCAATCACCGATGGCCAACCGTTCCTTCCTACTTTCCTAAGGGTCGCAAAAAAGGGGGGGAGGGGGGGGGGGGAGCTATTTTTCGACCCCAGGAAACAATTTCGGTGTAAGCACGCACGTGCTGTGACTGGCGTGCATGACTAGGCGTTGATAATCCAAGACTTGGATTGCCTTTTCCCCGAACCCGTTCTCAGTACCGTCACGCTTTTCACGGAGCGATGTTGACGGCAACGGCCGTGATGGGTGGGTGTCCTACCGACATCCGGATGAGGGAGCGATGGATCTGGCCAAGTTGGGCGTTTGTTCTTGGGATGAGGGTGGTGGTTGTGGGGGGAGGTAGAATGGTGTCTTCATTCATGTCTCCGTTGAGGTTATGCTTCTTCCTGCGGCATATAGACTTGTAAAAGTAAAGGTTTGGAGCTTTCTTGTTGTTGGCAGGGGATGCATGGCTGGAGGAAGGTGTTCTCGGTTGTTTGTGATGCCTGTCTCGTGTGTCTTCGTCCCTCACGCCTGACTGGGCGTTAATAATTCTTAGCCAACATTGGACCCCAAATGTAGCCGTGTTGATGCTGTGGTGATGAAATAGTCCACCATTTGTTAGTTGGTGATCATCTTCGGGTCTGTTGCTAACCTCACGGTGGATCCGGCACGATCTCGCACGTTTCACCCACATTTGTTTCTTGGCAGACAAAAACAAATGAGGTATGATGATACATGCATACCTGCGATGTCTTCGCGAATTTGGAGGTGCGGAGACAACAGTATGAAGCATCACCCGTCATCATCACGCGCTTGTACCCTCAATTCTCTGTCGTTTAGCACCACGAAGTTCGAGGTACGTTGTGTCAGCAAAATGCCCAACACTCTGCCTTTCGGCCTTCCTTGCGGCAGGCCGGATAGAAAAGGTGTGGCGCTAAATTTATGAAAAAAACTCGTTTGTTTGAAGTACCCCTCTCTCTCTTTGATACATGGCATAATTTAGTAAGCACGCACACACTCTTTTAGGAGGACTCGGCTCCAATGGAGACAAAGCACGACCGACCACCGTGTCCTCTGACCACGTACTGCGTGCGCTGATGTTGGCAGTCGTTGTCTTCAAAGATATCCCTGTGACGACTTCTTCTCTCCTTTGCCTCCTCTTCTTGCTCCGTACGGTATTTCGTCAAAGCAAGCACGAATTTGTAGTCACAAAAATTACTACTACTCTCTGCGCATATGAACTTCGAAACTCGACACACGGACGGGATGATAAAACGACTTCGAAGTAATCAATTGCAACAGACCCGCCGGGATTGGGCCCCTCTACGCGCTAAAATGGGATTGCCCAGGAAATAACCCTACACCGGAAGGAAGGAACGAAAAGCGGGCAAGGCGCCTCGAAAAAGAAATGACGAAAAAGGAGTACGGCGAAAGATTTCCACTTGATTGATTTATCCGTCTCACTACTTACATGCGTTCAAACCAAAACAACCAAGCACTCCAGTTGTTGTTGTTGTTGTTGTTGTCTTCACATTAAAAAACCGTTCCGTTCTCTCTGCCTATTATAGTACCTTCTTCTGTCCGTATTAGTCTAGAACTTGACGGGATCGATTCCCGTGGTCACAGGCTAACTTACCCAAAAAAAGGTATACGAAAATAAAATGGACCCGAAGGGTCTGCACGCCAATAAAAGTCAACGACAGAAAGTCTAGGCCCCTACGCTCGCCTCTCTGCACTCTATGGGAGGTAACGCTAGATTGGAAAAATAAAGAGAACGTACAAAGAAAAAAGAAAGAGAAAGAGAAAGAGAAAGAGAAAAAGAAAAAATTAAAAGAAAGGAATTGAGCAGATGTAGAGAAGCAAAGGGCAAGAGAAAGACATAGACAGACAAAGATACACTCCGTAGCGACAAGCAACAAACAAACAAACAGAACAACACAAAACAACACAAGACAAAGCGGTCCACTCGAGCCAGCCCATGCACGTCATCGCTCGCGGGGAGTTGGTGCAATGGTGCAGTGCCGGGGGGGGGGGGAGGGGGATAAGTCAAGCAAGAGGTTCATTTCGGCACGGTGTTTCGCGCCACTCGGTCCGCCTCTTCGTGCTTCCTCCCTTTCCTGGTCGTCTCGTCCGCCTGCTGTACCCCTCCCACCCCCGTGGTTGTTGCCGTGTCCGTGTTGCTGTCGGGCTTCTTGTTTCGTTTGAGCGCTCGTTGTCGGCTAGCCTCCTCTTCCTTCTTGTGCCAGGAGGCCATGAACCTCTTAGCTCCCTGCAGTACCCCTGTATGCCACGGTACCCCCCGGTCCTCCTTCGCTGCTTCCATTCAAGTTTTTTCCGGGACTCCGAAGAAGCATGGCTCGGTGTCCGTAGATCTGAGCTCTGCTTCGAACATCTTGTCGTCCTTCAGGCACATCTGCCAGTTTTGCTCCGGTTTCCCCCTGCCTGGACCCTCCCTCCCCACCAATTCGCCAAGCATCACCCGTTTCGGGAGTCGTCCGTTTGGCTGCCTTACCAGCGCTCCCGCGAACAGCAGGCGCCGTTGCCGGATAGTGGTTTCCACGCTCTGGCACCCTACCCTCTTCAGGGTCGGGGCGAAGGAAAGCTGCCGGTAGGTGCCCTTCTGGCGTTGGTAACCGATAACTCGCAGGAGGAGCAGTCGGTGGTGTATCGTCCGCAACGTCCGGTATTGGTCTTGACGTGGGACCCATGTCATGCAGCCGTACAGCAATGCCTCCATCGCCTCGGCCTTGAGCAGGCGAGCCTTCAGTCGGAACGGTGCTTTCGGCCTGTCGAAGAGCTCCTGGCCATATCTCCTGACGCGCGCGCACCCTGTTCTGCTCCGGTAGTTGATCTCCCGGGTGAGGTCGCCATGTTCGTTGACGAGGCCACCTAGGTACCGGAATTCAGGCATCTGGGCATACCTCTGCCCTGCTGCCTCGATGATCAGCGGTGGCGGCGGGGGGGGCGGTGGTGTTGTTGTGTGCTTCTCCATTTTGCGTGCATCAGGAGCGTCTCCGTCTTCTTCTCCGATACCGTCAGCCCGAACTTCCCGAACACCTCCACGATGACGGTCATCATTCTCGCCAGTCCTTCGGCAGACCTCGATACGACGCCGGCGTCATCCGCATACAGCATCCCCCATACCGCCCTCCGCACTCGGTCAAGTGGTGTCCTCGCCCCCGCTCCCGTGTCCTCCTCCAGGTACACGAGGTTCTCCAGAATAACATCATCCTCGCTGAATCAAATGGCAACGACCTCGATGACCGCGGCGAAGAAGATATTGAACAGCAGTGGGGACAGCACACACCCTTGTCGTAGGCCTTGTGTGACCAAGAACCAGGCCGAAAACTCTCCGTCGTCCATGCGCACCCGGGCCCGCATTCCGTCGTGGAATTGGCGGATGACGGCGATCATCTCCTCAGGAATCCCGGCCCTGGCCAGGACCTTCCACAGCATCTCTCGGTCCACCGAATCATATGCCTTCTTCAGGTCGACGAAGCACATGTAGAGTGGTATTTTCCTTCTCCGCCCCAACTCCTGGAGTCGGCGCACGACGAACAGCATGTCGATGGTGGATCGCCCAGGTCCGAACCCGCATTGTTCCTCCGGGAGGATGTTGTTGTTTTTTTTGCAGAGGGCGCTCATAGGCGGTTGGTGATGATCTTGATGGGGACCTTGCCTACATGAGAAAGTAGCGAGATCCCCCTGAAGTTGTTGCAGTTGGACCGGACCTGTCACCCTTCTTGTACAACACCTTGATGGTTGCGTCCTTCCACTGTTGGGGGATCTCTCCTCCGTTCCACACCTCAACGAGGATGTCATCATGGAGGTGCTCCAGGACGATGGGTTTCTCGTCGTCGACATTCTGCAGGGAGGGAGTCATTGCCGGGTGCCTTCCAGTTCTGCAGTCCTTTCGTTGCCCGTTCCACTTCCTCGAGGTCTGGCACCGCTCCCAAGCGTCGAGTGGCACGTGTCGCCGGTCGCTGCGTGACTTGTTCGATGATGTCTGGGTTCAGGGTGGGGGTCGCTCGGCGCGCTTCCCGCCGTTTGGTGAGGGCCTCCTCCAATGCTGCTGCTCTTGTCTCAGGGGTCTCACACCATTCCTGCGTGCGTCCTCCGCGGTTTCGGGTAGTAGACTATCGCCCTCGCCCCTTCGAGGAGAGCATTATTATTGGTGAACTCGGTCGCCTTCTCCGGGGTGGTGGTCGCTCGTTCGCCCTCTGCTGTTGGTCGAGGTTGAGGAGGAACCGCGTAGTCACGTTCCATCGCGTTGCTTCGACCTGCAGTTCCCGTCGGTCGAACTGCTTCTGTTTCGGTTTGGTCCGGACTACTCGGTTGTGGGCAAGCCTGCCACCGAGGTTGACGGTGGCTATCACCATGTTGTGGTCTGAGTCCGCTTTGACTGGGTATTATACCGGCTGGGGGATGGCAATCATGTTAGACAATCGGCCGCGGTGTGCCTGCCGCGTTAGAATGTAGTCGAGGCGCCAGCGGTCGCTCCCTGACGCACAGTTGTAGGTGTGTCATATTCCACCCACCCTTGTGTGTCTCGAAGAACGTGTTCGCGAGTGCTTGTTTTCCACGCTGCGAAAAGGTCAGCAGCACAACAGGTACAGATGGCGCCCGCTACCATGAGGCTCAAAAAATCCAAAACTCATGAACATGAGCGTATTTTAGTGGTCCCCGTTGAGAACCTCACACTACAACCTATATAATGGCCATTCGCAGCCTCAACAGGCAACTAAGAACCCCAGCCTCACGCAAATTAAGATGTTCTTAAGTGCGGGCGCCATCTGTAGTCTGCGATTCTCGTTTACCTCATCACGGTTGTGTTCTGGATACTAGAACCACAAAAAAAGAAAGTGGTGGGAGAAAAATATATGCATCATCCGTGAATCGAACACGGGTCGCGTGAATGGCAATCACGCATTCTACCACTGAACCAATGATGCAACCGAACATGTTCAACATCCCTATTTTCCTGCGCACTGAACCAGGCGAGCGCCTAGCGGGACAGCAGGAAGGACTCATCATCAGGACAATGACGCCACCTAGATGGGGGAGGGTGCAAATCACTGGAGAGACTAAGCGAAAAATATTAATTTGAGGAAACAACGGCGCCGAGATTTGCTGCTTATTGTTGCCGTGTACTACTTTACACTGCTGTATACAAAACAGCATGTATAAAAATGATTCCCAAAAAGATTTGTCGACAGAGAGACCTTTTACACAGGATGAGGGATTTTCCCGCGAACTCAAAAAAAGCGATAATACAACCTATCCCTTACGACTTGAAGATGCATTCGTATCAGAGGTGGGGGGTGGAGAATAGCGGAGTGTATGCAAGAAAAACAAAGACAAGAAGAAAGGGAGAAGGACAGCACAGACACACCAGACACAGCAGATATATTCATGTAGGGCACGCACATATGATCGGTTCCTTTCGCGTTGACGGAGCCCCCCCAGAACAATTCCATGAATTTGTGTGTGTCTCTCCGTCCATATGTAGCACCTGCCCACACCCACCCCACAACCGCAGCAAGGGTCTGGATGGGGGCGCGGTGTGTTGTCAACGACTCCACCGATATGCGAGGTCTTGTTGGGTCGACTGTCGCCACCCGTGCTTGCTAGCCTGTAGCACAAACAACGAGGATAGATCAACGGGCCTCTCGTCCCTTTTTTTCAATTTTTTCCCCCCCCATCTTCGTGTTCCACCGGCACGGCGGTGACAAGCCCTCCCTCGAGAAAGGAGGAACTCGACCGACACGCCGGTGTCTTTGGTGCTGCAGAGCACCCGGCATTGTATGGCGCGCGAGGGGGTTGGTGGCTCTGCTTGGCTGTCGCTAGGCCGGGAGGAGACGACGCCGACGATCATGGGTCCCAGCAGCAGCAGCAGCAGCAGCAACAACAGCGGCAGCGGCAGCAGCAGGAGGCGGTACTTGCCGTGGGGCCGAGGTTGCATGGCGAGCAGACCACCAACTACAACGAGGCGCCGCCGACATGGGACCAGCAGCGGCAGGCTCCACAGCCTCGCGGCAGCCGTCTGTGCCGCCACTATCGTCCACGCCCTCTGCCTGTGCCGCAGCACTGCTACTGCCGAGTTTGCGGCGGCGGCAGGAGCTCCGCTTGGAACCAGACCGGCGGGTTTGCCTGCTGCGGCATCGATTTCTGCTGCTGGAACAAGAGGGACGACGGAGGCGCGGCAGCACAGCAGGGCAGAGGGCTACTCCCCAAGGGAGGAGGAGGCTGGCGTGCTAAAGGAAGAGGGGGGCACCGGTGGGGATGCTGCCCGAGCTTCGGCGTGGGCCGATGTCGTCAGGTTTGAACACGTGTGAGTTCCGAGAGAGGGAAAAGCATTCCAATTACACAACCGAAGACGTCTTGGGAGCAGCATCAACCTGGCATCAGGGCCGAAAACAATCCTCTCCTTTATTTATAGAGAGGGACCTGCACCCCGGCAAGTCGTATACCCGATGCGCCGAAATCGCCCGGCAGAGCAGAGCGCGCGTGATGTCTCTCAAAACCGGGGGAGGGGGATGGTGGAACTGCTGCCTATGAAGGACCATGGGTTGGTATCCGTTCTACACCTAATTCTTGCTCTTCCTTGTGTTCCCTCTTGCATGAAGTTCAAGACAAAGACTGAAACTACACCCTACCCACAGAGTATCTAGACTATACAGCAGTACACAAATCCCAGCCCACAATTCCCGACGACCAGTGGACGAATGCATGCAACCACCCGATACTCCAAGCGGTGTCTTCCGCCTTCTGCCAGAAACACGCTCCAACTATGTTTTACCGTTTGATTTGACTGCTGGTAGCGTACAATCTACCCCAGGCCGATTAGTTATTATTTTATCACCAGTTTGCCTATTATCATAGACGACGGAAGAGTTCCTACCCTTCCAGTATCTATCTCCGTCGGATACAGAGTAAGGTCCCACAGAACGACTAAAAATAAACGACCAAATTTTGTGAAACCGCCGTGTGGTGTTTACGGAAGCAGCAGTGGGTAACCTTGCAAACCCTACTGGTCTGTCAAAAATTAAAGCAGCGGGGTGTGGGTTGGAATCTCTCTCGGGATTGAACTGGACTGACTTACTTGAACTTCTTTCAGTTAAAGCGATTTCCGCTGACAACAGGAGAAGGTGGACTGCACAACAACCCTCCTAACGAAGGCAACCACTGCATGGGGAACAGCATATTTAGTTGGGACAAAAAAAAACGAAAACGGACAATCCCCGTGGGTTCCCTTCCTCCTGTTGACCCCCCGGACTGACACACACGTTGTATACAGCAGTAGCGGTCCCAAAATCTCGTGGCACCTCGGTGGTCAAACTACCATGTAACTGCCGATTCCGTTTAGCAGTGATGCCCTCAATAGCGGTTGCAACATTTATTTGGACCGCTAAACCGGGACCATGACCTTACTGTAGAATACGCACACAAAGATCTTGAGTGCGGGCGCTATAACTGGTAACTGGTTTACAGCAGGTGTAGATTGGCGACAGAATAGATGAGACGGAAAAAGAAAAAAAAGAAAAATGACTGCTGTCCTCGTTCGGCAAGCACATATGTCGCGGGGCCCGATTGCAAAAGCGCCACGGGTGGCTGGCGGTCCCCGGCGTGCGCGGTGATGTACCGACGACCCCCCTTCGTGCCCCTGAGAAGGAAACGTGAGCAAAGACTCTCCTCCGCCAGCGAAGTATGTCCCCAAGCACGAAAACAAGCGAAATAGTACATATACATGGAGGGGGGCGAGAAATGCCGTTGGGCACAATGGGAGGCGTTGGCATGAGTTGGACCCGTGCGGATGTTGAAGGTACTGAGCATGGGATGGAACGGTTCTTTGTTGTTTAGACAGGAACAGAGGAAGAGGGGACCGTCAACCATCATAAACCCTCATGTGTAAGGGCTTGAACTCATCCCTTTCTGAGGCTTGCCTCGAATGGTAGTCTCGCTGCAATACTTGTAGAATTAAAGAGACCAAAACGTCAACACCAGGTACACGTACACAGCGGGTAGTTTACGGAGGAACACGGGGTGTTATCCCGTGCGGTAAATACTTGTAAATAGGATGAGTAAACGACCCCGACGATGAGGTTAGCGTCGCCGTTAGAACGAACAACACTTGCTTAACCATCCCTGCATCAACGTATGCATAGGTTAAGCTTGACAAGTGTTCCGAGCCCGGGTTGTAGTTGTCTCCTCCCCTCCCTGCATTGATACCAGAGGGCAAACCAGTTATCAATCAACTTGGTAAACCACGGCCAGATCTTGGGCGTTGCAGCATGGCCGGCATGTTGCCCAATGATATTACACAGGGCAGCAGCGAACAGGAAGACCGGGAGTGGACCCAACCACAGAGACGCATACACTCATGAGTGAAACCAACGGTGTGAGAATCAGGTCGAAGGCGCCCCTCGACCCCACTGGTTGTATTTTCACCTTAGGAAAGTCGTGGACTCTGCTGCACACGCATGTGCGCGAACTGCTGTGTGTGGCGCGCGCGCATGCCTATTTGTGTGCTTGGGTAACTCTCAGCGGCAGCCGGGCTGTTACCCACCACCCCCCCGTCCACACCAACACACGCACTGACGTTAGCTGACGAGAAAGCAGCTTGGTGTTCACCCACCGGTTCGAGCTGTTTTTTTTTTTTTCAACAATCTTTGTTTTTTTTTCCCCCAACTATAGGCAAGGCTTGCGCATGTCTCAGGCTAATGCATGGAAAAGCAAACACGATTTGTAGGGAAAAACGGCTCAATTTGCAATGATCCATACAATACCGTATGTGACACAAGATAACACACCCCCTGGACCAATTTTCAAAGCTCGATTACACCACGACGAAGAGGGTGCATTAGTGAAACAATACATTTTCGGAAAGCTCTCGACGAGACAGCTTCAACGCCACCGTTTTCGGCGCTGTGACTCCTTCTGTTGTTGAGAAATCGAGATTTTAAAATCGGTCCAGGGGGTGTGTTATCTTGTGTCATTTACGGTATATATGCGCAGACATGCGGGGTAGGGACGAGTTGGTTTTCCATTTGCTACACGCTTGCCTGACGCGGTGATGCGAAACTACACAGTGGACACGTACGGTCGCACTACCCTTCAATCGCCTCCCTGCAACATGTACATGCGGAGAGAGATAACATCGAACCCGCCCACGATTTTTTATCTCTTCGTTCTTTCATGCGCTGTGTAAATAAACCTGTTCTTCCTTCTTGTGTTGCGTGTAACGGGAACATTTTCTGATGTTGCAGACCTACCCGGCCCCACAGCAACGGCGCGAAACACCCGGATGGGGCCAACGCCGCCGCCGCCGCCGCCGCCGCCGCCGCTGCGGATACCGTTACCGAGGAGGGCTTAACCTCCCGCGTAGCAAGCCGCGAAGACTTGGTTCCCGTTCCTTCACCTCGGCGGATGCAGATAATGGTGCCGGTGCCGACCTCATCGGCAGAAACGAACCCAGGCGGGGGCGGACAGGTTTTTCCGGAGGATGATGATCCCGTGCGCGTGAGTGATGATGTGGGTGAGGAGGCGGAGGAGGCGGAGGAGGCGATGGAGGAGGCGGAGGCGGAGCAGGCGAGGGACGTGATGCTCATCACCATCTCGATCGTCGTCGGGTGCGGTGTGCTCACGCTCATTCTGCTGTGCGTGGTTCGTAAGGTGAGACAGAGAGATGAACAAACAAGAACAGAGAGAGACGTAGGCAAACAGAAACAGAGAGAGGGTAAGAGAGCAAGGGCGGGGGATAAACAGACAGATAAGACAGACAGAGACAGACAGACAGACACACACAGGGCGTCTCTTCTGTAGTAAAGTATAGACCCCCTGCTAACCTTGCTAACTGGAAGAGCAACGGAATGATGTCGGCGGACAGAGAGCAAGGTCCGAAGAAGGTCCAAGCATAGCGTTCAGCGAACGAGTTGTTTTTTCGGTTGCTCGTTGCTCGGTAGACTCTGGCAATATCCAGCAGCGTGTGTTGTTGCTAGTGGCGAGCTGGAGCTGTCCTCAGCTGAAGCAAACAGCTTTTTACGTCCAGGCTTGTTCAACAGAACCGTTTAGCCGAGTAGCGTGGTCGACGCTAATGAATGTGTACACGCACACACACACACACACACGCACTGAGACTGACGTCTTTTCATTGGTCAGCCGGTTAGCGCGGTCGATGCTAACAATAAAAAAGCACACACACCGCCCCCCACCCGTCTCTCCGCTTTTAGGTGATGGACCTCTGCCTCCTACGGAACGATCCGACGGGCAGCCTACGCTACTCGCAGGAGGAGGGGCTAACAAAGAGGAGCATCGAGCGCCTCCCCCAGACTCGCTACAAGAGACCCGTCTCCGGTACGGCTCAAAAAAAGGGAGACAAGAAAACACCAGCTTCCGACGGCAAGAAGCCAGACGACACGGAAGCCGCGGCGGCGGGAGAAGAGGGGGGGGTCACGGGATCGGATCTTCACGGGCCCCCCGGCAGTAGTACGGCAGCGCCTAAGACCGCGGTTGTGGCGGGGGCGGAGGGCGGGGAAGGGGAGGGGGCGCGGGATAGCACCGAAGACATGTGTGCTATTTGTTTGGTGGAGTACGAGACCGGGGACGAGCTTCGAATCATCCCCGGGTGTGGGCACAGGTTCCATAAGGTGCGTGTCTGGTGGGCTATGGATTGTTATTTGGTCGTTGTTTGTGTTGTTTTTGGGCTTGCAGAAGGAATAACCAGTGTGTTTGTGATCTTGGTTCTTGGCCACTCTCTGAAGCTCATTTTTATTGTTTCGCACGCAGCGAGCTGCACATACACGTGTCTTTGATGTTGATCTTGCTGGTCTTCTTTCGACGATGTAATGAAATGAAAATCTCACGAACTTTGCCCTCCTGTCGTCCGCGTTGTGTGTAGCTGGTCATCTCTCGGCGATGTGTTGAAAAATCTAGCGAACATTGCGCTTCTCTCGTAAATACGCATTGTGTGTGTTAGGAATGCATCGACCCTTGGCTGGAGACGAAGGCCGTGTGTGCGTACTGCAAGGCCAACGTGGAGGCCCGAAGGACGTGCTGCGACCGCGTCTACCGATCGGTGTCTGATCGCTTGGGGATCAACCTGGTGGCGCCAACGACGATAAGGTTTTCCAGCAGCCGCCGCACTTACACCAACGAAGATGTGAGAGAAGAGAGAGAAGCGAAGAGGGGCGCGGGAAGAGTTCGTGGAATGAGAGTCTGCTGTTGTTGTGATGCGCTTTCGTGTGTGCGTGTAATGTTAGCATCGACCGCGCGAACCGGTTGACCAATGAAAAGACGGGGGAGAGAGAAAGGATTTGTTTGGAGACGTGGAGGTGCTTACAGTAATGAGGGTAGTTTTCGTTGTATTTTTGTTTCTTGCGCGTGCTGTCAGAAGTGCTCTTGCCGTGCTTTCAACTGTCAACCCAGAAGGAAAAAACCCCTTGACGCATCCCTTGTACGTGTGCCGCGCGCGTTATCGATCGCACGACCACAACCAACAGGTGCAGCTCGCCATGGGACCGACCCTTCCCGCTTCCTACGGCCACTCCGAGATGGACTACGTGGGGTCGGCCGTCGCCCCGCGGCAGGCTTCGGTGGACGTGGAGGCGGGAGAAGGGGGGGAGGCGGAAGCAACAACGCCAACAACGGCAGCTGCTGCGGCACCGGGGCAGGCGTTCGGGGGTGGGGGTCCCGCAGGATCAGGTTCGACGAGGTCAACCCGCGGGGCCATCGTTCTGCCGGACCAGGGCGGCCAGCCGCAAGGCTCCATCGTCGTACAGCCCGCTTCTGCGCCCAGCTACGTGGTAGTCCCGCGGGAGTACTCCTTGGGCGGCGACGGAATCGACGAAGAGTATCCCGGTAACGGCGGGGAAGGGCTTGCCGGGAGTTCGACGAGAGAGTTGGCCTCCTCGGCCGCCAGAGCTTCCACGACAGAGGGCCTTCCCGACGACGTCGCGCAGGCGACGGACGCCACGGAGGAAAAGGAGGAGATAGTGGCGGAGGCGGCGGAAGAGAGACGCGGCAGCCACAAGGGCTTCAGCGACGGCCGTGGGGGAGTGGTGTTCGGCGGCAACACGGAGGAGTTCCGGGAGGCGGCGGCGGAGGCGGCGGCGGTGGCGGGGGCACGGAACGGGGCCGCTGCCAGCGGAGGCGCGGGGCCTCGCTTGTAGGGCGTGGCGTCGTGTAGAGAAGGGGCGGCGCGCGCACAAACGTTTGACGTGCTGCTGGTGTTTGTTTCGCCACCGCTGCTGGACCTGAACAGGGGCTCCGAGTGTGTCCTTGTCCCATGCTTATTTTTGTTGCCATTTTTATCTGGTATCCACCGCGCGATGAAGCGCCGCTGAGCAATCAAAAGCAACGCGAGGCGAGGCATAAAACGACTTGCTGCTGCTTGATTTAGGCATGCGAGGGGATCGTGCGGACAGGTTGCTTTCGTTTTTTGTGTGCGTGTCTGTCTGTCTTACGTGCGTGTTTTTTTTTTTTTGCCGTCTGACTTGGACGGTGGCGGTAGTGGTTGTGATGATGAAGAGATAGATGGCCACGCTGTTTTTGGCTTGATCTTCGCCAGACAGGTGTTTTCGGCCATCATCCCGGCGCGAGAAGGCATGTTTTATTTTTGCTCGATGGGCCTGTTCGACCGAGGACAAGTTTTTTTTTGCATTGCGTTGTTTGTTTCAGGCGCGCGGGAGAGGGTTGTGGTTCCCACAGTAGTAGTAATACTGCTAGCGGGGGGGTGTTTCTGGGAAACAAGGGGGGGGGGGGGGGTACGCGGCATACAGTGTTGCCGGCACACCCACCCCCCGCCCTTTGACTTTTCACCGTGCTTGGTCTGGTATCGATGCAAGGAGTCGAGAGTGACACGCGCTTGGTGTTGCAATCCCCGCTTGCTTCGCTTTGTACCGCTTCATGCAATTTGTTGTGTTGTCGTCTGGATGTTTCCCTATCGACTAGCGCACGCCCGAGCGAGAAAGTAGGGTGCCCGCTTGCCACACACAGCAGCATGTGCCGCGTAGTCTGTAGGGAGTACTTTTTGGTGCATGGAGCGCTGCGTCTTGTGACCGTTGTTGAAGAGTGTAGTTTGATGCTGCTGTACAAGTTAATTTGGATTATATGCATATGAATGTGTACCTCACGCACAATTGATGCGCGAAGAGCTTAAGATGGCCTCGTGCTCTCGCTCACGATTCGTCTAGCCTCCCGTGTTGTGTAACTGACTGTAGGAGTCCTCCTGTTGTTGTGTATGTTTTTTTTTGTGGAAGCACAGCGGTCGCGAAGCTTTCCAGTGTTTCTGTGGAAATCAATCTGCTGCTGCAGGTGGTATATTGCTGTGCGTGTCGTTGGTGAGGAGGGTAGTCGCATAATGTTTTGTTTTTTTTGTGCTTTTTTCTTGTCGAGTAGCCGGCCTTTGCGGCGCTCAACGTTTGACAAGTAGTTCCAGTCGCCTTGCGCCCCCCTGCCCCTATGTTTGCGGCTACCAACCAATCAGGTCCCGGGGATTTGGTGGTGGTGGTGGTGTTTCCCTTGCATAAAACAAAAATTTTGCTGTCTACATAACAAGCACGGTAGGCGCGGTAATATACCATGGTGTTATTATTCTCTTCGTGTGGAATGGCGGGGCTATTCATCATCAAGTTTTTTGCAAGGACGATGTGACGCTCGCCTTCGCGTAGTTTTGTTTGTTCATGTTTTTTTTTGTTTTGACTTTTCGTCGATATTAGTACAGTATAGGCAATGTAAGAATAAAAGCTCTCCGGGGAGGAGATTGACACAAACACAAACGCTTACACGTACGAGTGGAGGACGACGTGCTGTTTGTGATGGTGTCCCTACGGTCATGACGTCAAATTATTTGTTGACCAGAAGTTTTCGATTCGATTTGTTTACTTAAAGGTTGAGCGCACAAAGAAGCCTTCGATTTTTGTTTGGCGCAAGCAACGTTGTCGTCGCGGCAGATTTTGAAGCTGGCAGGAATGAAAATTATCGCAAATTGATCATTCTTTCCAGGACCGACCGCGAGTCACAAAGTCAGTCGGACCTTCCCGGGTGCCGCGGGCTTCTGCGTTGCTACCAAAACCCCAACGGGTGGGGTGGGAGACTCGTTACGTCAGCAACAGAACAACAGACAGACTCGATTCGAAAGAAAAAGAAGCAACAGAAAATCGTTTGAATAACAGCACTTTCGGCGTTGACACTACGTTCGCGTGTGGGCTCCGGAAGAAGAAAGACGCAGAGGATGGCCAAAAAAAGGCCTGGCGAGAATACGAACTTCCTTCCGCCGGCCAAAGCGAACGCCCCACCACGATGGCGTCTGTCTGAATCTGCTCCTTCTTCGTGTCTGTGGTGTCGATTGACTTTCATGGGAGATTCCATTCCATGAAGAAGGCTTTCGTGGGGATTCCATTCCAGGAAGGCCCCGTGTCGTCGCCGTCCCTGAGCTCAATGGAATGTCCCGTCCTCCGAACGAAACCACACATGAAATACGCCGATCGAGTTTTTTGGTGAATCATAAGAATTCCGACGGAGAGAGAACTTTCGCGATCGGCCTTGATCTTTCGACAAAACGGTCAATGGTGCATATTGTGCGCTGGCGCTGGCGCACCTACATAGATGGAGACGACGATCTTGACGTCGTGTCAGCATCCGGTTGGGATGGGTTGGCGTGGTACGAGAACTCGGAGGGCAACGGGGTGTTTTTTTTTTGTATCAGTTTGGAACAAGGGGAAACCTGTCAAGTGAGTTTACTCTTCGTTGCATGTAGTGGCTTCGTGTTTTCAAGACAAGTTTAACCTTCCCCCGAAAACGACAACAGTGCTGCTATGGTGACCAGCGCAGGGGGCTTCTGGGCAGACCGGAGAGTTAGACAACGATAGCTCGGTATTTGAGGTTCATAGAGAATGCGGCTTCAGTTTCAGTGTCTGATGGACCCCGGGTCAGACTCCGGGGTCTGGCCACGTTTCTCGTGTTCAATTTTGAGCGGTTCTCTCGGCATCGGTGAGGTGCTCACCGAGTGGTTACGGCCAGAGGTAGCGGAGAGTGTGCGGTCTCAATACGCGCGTACCTGCTGCTGTCCAAATGCTAACAAACGCTGAAAACGACTTACATAAGAGCGACCACAACAAAGAGAGGCATATGGGACGTCTTGCGGGACAGCGATGGCGCTGTTATTTGACGTGGCATATATCACGCATGCTTTCCACCATACCCACAGTCAACAGCATCGCACTGTTAGGGATGAAACGAAAACCACGAAAAAACCGCTTTGCGCCGGGAGGGGGGGCGTGGGCAGGATGATCCATCGTTGCTGACGTTTGGCTTTCATGCTCCCCTTTCTCGGTCTCCACGAACGCCTCATTCCAAAACAAACGCTTGCTCTAGGTCAACGGGTGGGCAGCATGTTGGATCGGGTCAGCGTCAAACACAAAAACATTGTCTAGATACGCAAGAACTTGGTCCAGACCTTTGTAACCACTTCGTGGATGACTATCCGGATCCACTGGAAAAGCTGCGTAGGCGAAACGCCGCCAGCTGGTCTGTGTCATCGTTCACCGTGATCTGGTGGAATGCGGAGTTCAAGTCGAAAACGGAAATCACCATTTCCTTGTGCGGATAAACAATGATGTGGTCAACACGCGGCTGCGGTTGTTGGCCAAGACCACACAGTTTGTTGATCTTTTGGTACAATACTTCACGATCAACCGCAGGTTGCCGTCCTTTTCGGGGATGAAAGCCAGAGAGCCATGGCGATTTCGAGTGCTAGATAAGTCCCGCGGGAAGGTAGAATATCGGTCGAGAATGGCATCGACTTGTTTCTCCACCCAAGGATTGATCCGTTGAGGAAGCAAAGCCAGCGGTTTCTTGCCATGGGGCACGTCCAAACGAAAGGATTTCAGGGAACAACAATCAAAAGCAGGCAGAAGGTGACCCCGAAAACACACCCGGGAGTCACACAGCACATCCTCCAGGCTGTCAATGGCTCCCGTGGTCCAGCCCGGGTCACGCAAGTCAACAATAACATCGCCAATGCACAGGCGGCGGTTTAGGCGGCAACGGGGCCGCAGGAGAGCCGGAGCTCGCCGAATCCGGCCGGGATGTTGGGGTGCAAAGAACTCACTTCACGCGGGGCGGCGGCCTAGCATCTGAATGTGCTGGCGGCACAGGAATATTGGACCCAGCACCAACGGCAGCCTGCGGTGGTTGGTCAACCGACGCAAGCGGAATCTATTGTACAAGAGGAGTAATTGTCACTCCATGCACGTCACCAGGCTCTACCTCGCATCCGGCCAAGGGGGTGAAACCCGTCGAAAAGTGAACGCGTCCGACAATGAAAGATTGTCATGTTTCGGGAAGAACGTGACAAGATAGCTGCCGGTGAGAGCGGGAGTGCCGGGGTTGAAACTAGGTTCTCCACTTAAGTGGGCTTTTCGGAACGAGCGACACCCTGCCTGCCGGCGTGCCGCAGGAAGTGAGATGCCGGGTGATTTTTCAGGTTTGTTGGGCTCGCCTCGCGTCACTTACTAATAGCGGAAACCCCCACCGCAGAATCCGACGACAAAAAAGAAAGTATCTCCATAGTGCTTCCACTCGCAGACCACGTGGGCAGAGTAGTGGACAAGCGAGAGTTCAAAGCAGGGCATGACCCATGACGTCGGCGGACATCACCGCCAAAACATTGGACCGATAGCCGCATCGAGGAGGTGGTCTAAAGGGTAGGGCCAGAACCAAAAGTACCCCACTGCCGAGCGGGCACCGAACGACGGCTGTAGAATGATGCAGCTGCTGACGCCTCCACGGCTTAAAGAAAAGCACCACTAGTAAAGGACGACGGTGAGTCCGAGTCCAAAAGGGCCACCCTAGGCGCCACACACACTGCACCGGTACGACTGTGCACGCGCGCACGCGCCGTAGAGGTATCGCTCACCCAATCTTGGCCATGTTCCGCCAACAACGGCGGCGGGGAAGCGGCGACGGCGCGAAAAACGGCGGACGCAAATGTGCAGTACCTGCGTCACGTGGTCCACGGGTGTGTCCGCCGACACATCCAGAGGGCCATGGCCATGACCATTTGAGGAAGAAGGATCATTCGCCGAAAACCCGTCCCCCGGGGGCGAAATTTCAACAATGATTGGGCACACGGGGGCCGAGATTTCCCAGTGCTCCGGTAACAAACCCTTGCCGGGTTCGACCGGGCGCACACGTAGAAGCGTGCGCGCCGCGACAAGCGCCTTGCCCCAAGAGGTTCTGACCAGGCCACCGACAAGGAAGGGGATAACATGGACAAAACAACATGGACAGCGCCTCCTTTGTCGGGGGCGCAGCGATGTAAGGCGGTATAAGTCTGTCGAGAATGGCTCCCTCTTTGCACACTGACCTACTCGTGTTGATATGTCTACATTCGGTGACAGTACAACCGGGTTCAGATGGAATGTGAACTTGTGGAGCTTCGGACGATGTCACTGGCGAATGCAGCATTCACTCCAAAAGGGACAGAAGACAAGATTCTGAAGAAGAATCGGGCTCCCGCTATCCTCTGAAGCCCAGTTCTCTCGCAAGCAAGATAAGGGTTCAGATTGGGGTGTGTGAACGCGTCCTCTTGAAGGGCGTACGTGGGCCAAAATGATTTTACAAGAACACTGAGGGGCGAGGCAATACGCCCATGAATGCTAGAAATATTCCGACGATTCACGTGAGAGACAACCAGAACGACACGCTTTGCAACATGCGTGACTCTGCTCACGTGAAGCCGGTCCGCAGCTGGTTGA